CTGTGCTTGCGCACTTGGCGCGTCATCTGCTGCTGCCGCTGCCGCCGAAGACGCAAGCAGCGGCGCGTGTGCTGCACCTGCAGGTGGGCATCAATAATGCGAATGAAATGCAATGAGCGCATACCAGCACAACAGCAGCCGCTGTCATATGCACAGCATCGGAGACCCTGTGAGCGACAAGTGCTTGTGTGGTTCATGCAGGCACTCATTGCTATCCACGCAGTTGCAACGATAACTTTGGAGGCGCAAGGGCCGAAAGCCTGGGAGAGACATGTTCATCGCGCTTCTGACACTGACCAAACAGATGCAGGCAAAGCGTGGTCAAGCCGGGCCGACTAAAGCCACCGACATCAAAAAACTTCCAAGATAATAAGAGCACAAGCAAAGCCTTGTCTTTCAGCGTGGAGAGACACCAAAACGGGGGATGAGCTGCACGTCTCAACAGGGATCTCGCTGACACCTGCCATTCGGACTCACCATGGAGGGCGGCTTGTCCCTGGTGCGGCTGGGGAGAATTCTGGTCTTTGGCACTGAACTGTGGCCCATGCACGCCGTTCTCGGACTGCGTGAGCTCTGACAGCTGTGGCAGAGGATCAAGCTGATGCCGCACCAACGCACTTGAAGCGTGGACCAGGCACTGTTGCGGGCTCCTGTTGTCACCCAGAACCTGGGCATAAGCTGAAAGGTGGCTGAGGCAGAAGGCAGCCATGCCCTCCACCGCACTCAGTGCCCTCTGCAGCTGCCCCGCGGCCACTTTGGTGGCGGTCTTGGTGCACGCCGTGACTCTAAAGTATTGCGCAGGGTGGGGCACACCTAGGTGCTGCAGATCCTCAGGAGTGGGGGCATGGGGTTCAACTGTGACTACAGCCTTGTCCGTTCGTAGACTGGCAGATGAGGTTGCTACGGCGCTGCGCAATGCCTGAAGAGCATCAGACACTGTACTACCAGAGCCTGAGGGTACCAGGGCGCAGCGAATGAGCCACCTGGTGTGCTGGGTTGAACGCGCGCGCTGCGACTGCAGAAGTGGCCCACAGCCAGGCACCGGAGCGCAGTGCTGCGGCATGGTGCAGTAGTTCTCGAGGAGAGCAAAGCAACCTGAACATCATCGAGATGGTGAGCCGCCGAGCGCGCCGCCAGGTACACGCCGATGATGATCAGATAAAATGCTCACTGCTGTGGTTTCTCCAACACATTGATGTAGCGTGACAGTGCGAAAACTGCCTGGTACGAGACTGAAGCGTGTTCAAACCCCCGATTCTGTCATGGAATTTTTCTAGGATAACTCCTTGGACTAGGGCAATCCACCATGTGTGGGTTCCCGACGGCGGACGCCGAGACTTGTCCAATGTAAGGGTTGATGCTCAATTCCCATGATCAGACGACCCCCATAAAATACCCCCAAATAAACCCCAAATACACCCCACCTGTGTACAGAAGGCTGAATAGATGACTCCTTTTTGTTGATTTCAGAACAATATCACTACTTGGTCTACAGACAGAAAATGTGTTTGTGTTTTCCGAGCTGGCTGTCATTCAGACTCATTCTAGACATTGGATTGTATGCCTGACTTCTGTTGAAGGTGCAACTGGTTTGCGCAACAAAGGGCATATCAGTGCGGCGGGCACTTCAGGGGAGCTGGCGGCATTGACTTGCAGCAGGTGTGTGCTTGTCTGTCGGCACATGTGCATGAGTTCGAGAGGTTTTCAAGGTTGACCTGCCCCCAAAAACGCTACATACAGTTCTACAGGGGCCATACAACTTTACAGGGCAAACACACACACACACACACACACACACACACACACACACACACACACACACACACACACACACACACACACACACACACACACACACACACACACACACACACACACACACACACACACACACACACACACACACACACACACACACACACACACACACACACAAAGAAAAAAAGTTTTTGTTTCTAAGGTTGGTGTAGTGGCAGCACTTGAGACTCTGAATCTCCCGACCTGGGCTTGACCCACCACAAGTAGATGCAGCAAGATCACAACAGAAGTACTCGCAATAGTCGCCGATGCACTGCGGCCGCAGCGTGCCCCAGACAAACGCTGACGGGCCCACATGGGGGATCTCGGCAATCGGGACCTGGTTCCAGACAAGCCACTCGCTGAGAAGCGACTCGAAGCCGTCGCCGGGGCCGAACCGGTAGTCCGCGTGCAGTCCCAGGGGGTTCAGCTCGAGCATGTCGTTGAGGTGGTCGTTGCGCACGCGCCAGAAGCGCTGGTAGAAGTCGTGCGCCATCATGAGCTGCATGACCTCGGGTGTCGCGACGAAGAACCTGTGACGCAGGGGTCCAAATTTGAATTGCACAGCTGGGCTGATTTAGAGGCAGCACATGACGAGACTAGTCGTTGTTGGCGCCACGACAGAAAGCACCATCATCAAGCACACTGCCAACGACAGCACGGCACACAGGGGCCTGAGTTTGAATTGCGCAGCTGGGCTGATTCAGAAGCAGCATGTGACATGACCAGTCGTTGTTGACGCAATGATTAGAAGCACAAGCATCAAGCATGCTGCCTGTACGGTGGTAGATCGGACTGCAATGCAGTAACGGATGCGATTCAGGCACCTGGCATTTGCAGGATCTGCTTATTGTTTAGAACCCTAGATGCATGTGACAACGGCGCAAAATTGGCGTGGTTACCCGCGCCAACAGTGGAACCAGGCTTTGACGTGGCCAACAGCACCATCGCATGAACCAGACATCGGCTGCGCAGAGGCAAACACACTCAAACCATGATGCTTTTCTACTTCACTTGCGCACTTCAACTTCAGCAGTTGTACATCGCGCGCGTATGGCAGCCATGGGTACTGACATGATTGAGTGTCAAAGGGCGCAGCCCCCACCTGGTGATAGCATGCAGGCGCGCCACTGCTCACACAACCACTTCGCACCGCTTCGCAGCGGTGCCCAAGACACGTAGAACGTGGCACTAATCGCCGCCAGGTCTCTCGCCATGCAAGGTGGCGCTGCGGCCGGACCATCCGTACCCGCTGTCTGAGCGTCTCTCCAGCACGGCGTGCCTGTACATGGATTTTGTGAACCTGGTGTACGCGGAACTCGTGCATCCGGAGGACAGCCGCTTCCCTCATTTCGAGCTCTGACTCGCCCCCGTTGAGCTCTGACGTCGCCCCCTCTTGAGGCTGTGACGGCGCGCGTGGCGGCATGCATGTCTCGATCGCCGCACGCGCAAGCACACGCGCACACAGCACAGGTTCGGGAGGGGGGGGGGTGGGGGGAGGAGCGCAGCGCCGCACGCACACTTGCCGTGACTGCCCTTGCGCAGTTCTCGCTGGCGGCATCTGTCCATGGCAGCGGCCGCCGCTGCTGCTGCTACTGCTGCTGCTTCCGCCATCCCTGAGTAGCTGCAACCGCAGCGGCTGCAGGCACCCGAGATGAGCAGCATCCGAGGCGGCGGGGGCGGCAGCGGCGGCAGCAGCAGCAGCTGCAGCAGTGGCAGCAGCAGCGGCAGCGGCGGCAATGGCAGCGGCGGCGGCGCGGCGCACCAATTGCACATCAAATTGAACACACTGCCAGAAAAGAACAAACAGACGCACCCGCGCGCACGCACACGGGACCACCGAGGTGCTTGCAACCACGCACAACAGGAGGTTGCACTGGCAGCAGCTACTGAGCACATTTTCTCACTCTGTATGTAGCGTGTTCCTACGTCCGGGAGGGCGCGCTGCCCATCCTTGAGTGTTTCAGCGGTGGGGGGAGTGCCCCCCCAATCTCTGTTTCCATGTGATAGGTTCTGCTGTAGCAGACTTTCGTGTAGTATTTCTGCACCGTTGGTACGGTTTGGCTAGGATGGCCTAAGGACAGGTGGGAGAGTGCGCCGATTGCTGCACTTCAACCACAAGCACACACGTGGGAAGGTTAGAGGTCTCTCTGTGGATGTTTGTACGTCGCCTTCGCTTTGAGCTGGTGCCACACACACACACACACACGCGCGGGAGGAGGGGAGGGGGGGGGGGGGGGGGGGGGGGGAAGCAGAAAGGCGGTGTAATCTGAAGTCATCGCAGCACTTGTGAGTGCCGTGTGTGTGTTTGCTGCGCTTGCATTTTGCCCGTATGGTGCCTGGTTCTGCGTACTTCACCAACCTGGTGTCGAGAGACCGGTGTATGGTGTGGTGTGGATAGTTCGCACTTGAGAGTGAGGATCGAGCGTGCAGTGCGCGTCAGCGGACTGTCACGCACGGCAGGATGAGAGCACAGTGACTGCGCTGGCGGCAGTGCTGCAGTGCCCGGCAGTGGGGAGCCCTCAGGCTCAGGAGTGCATGCAAGCTGCCGCCGCGGCGACTGCCGCCGCAGCGACGGCCGCCGCCTTTGTGGAGAGTGTGCTATGCTACAGATGGCACGGCGAGTTCAACACAGCAAGTTGAAGTCAGACTGACTCGGTCTTATGGTGTAGTGGCAACACTTGATAGTGAGGATCGAGCGTGCAGCGCGCGTCAGCGGGCCGTCAACACACCATGGCACGACGAGAGCACAGTGACTGCGCTGGCGGCAGTGCAGTGCCCGGCAGTGGGGCCCTCAGGCTCAGGAGTGCATGCAAGCTGCCGCCGCGGCGACTGCCGCCGCAGCGACGGCCGCCGCCTTTGTGGAGAGTGTGCTATGCTACAGATGGCGCGGCGAGTTCAACACAGCAAGTTGAAGTCAGACTGACTCAGTTTTATGGTGTAGTGGCAGCACTTGATAGTGAGGATCGAGCGTGCAGCGCGCGTCAGCGGGCCGTCAACACACCATGGCACGACGAGAGCACAGTGACTGCGCTGGCGGCAGTGCAGTGCCCGGCAGTGGGGAGCCCTCAGGCTCAGGAGTGCATGCAAGCTGCCGCCGCGGCGACTGCCGCCGCAGCGACGGCCGCCGCCTTTGTGGAGAGTGTGCTATGCTAGAGATGGCGTGGCGGATTCAATACAGCAAGTTGAAGTCAGACTGACTTGGTCTTATGGTGTAGTGGCAGCACTTGAGACTCTGAATCTCACGACCTGGGTTCGAATCCCAGTAGGACCTGTTGTTTTTTCGTTTTCTCGCTTTCCTCTTGCTGGGCGCTTTTTCGATGTGAGAGTTTGTTGCACACACACAGTAACACACACACAGTAGTTGTTTTTTCTGTGCTCTGTGCTTTATGTTGGGAGAGGCAGATTTTACTTTGAGGGGCCTCGACTGTCGACAGCCCAAAAGTGGAAAAACTGGCCAAAACTGCCATTTATTCTTGCGATGTCGCCTTTTGTGGTATACGCGAGAGAGGAGCTGAGCAGAAGCATGCGCCGAAGAGGAGTGCGTGAGAACTGCATAAAAGCTGTGCTGCAATCGTCGACTAGGCGGCCGGGCGCTCGTCACGCTCAGGCCCATGCTGCCAAGTACAGCCATGTGCCATCGTCTCCAGAGAGCTTGCAGGCCGAGCTGGTGTGAACGTCGCTGCAACAGCATATAACTGAAGCACAAGTGCACTTGACGAGCTGCCGATGACAGGCAAAACCAGCAAGAGAGCATGCACACTCAAGCGACGCTCCCTTGAAGCGGAAGCCGCGAGGTGCACCACTTGTGCGCCCGGGTGTTGTCGATACAACGCATCTCAACACCTGGGCGCACATGCGCTGTGGAACGTTGAGTAGAGCATTGCTGAGGTGCAATACTCTAGCATCATCAAGAAGACAGACAACCCCATGAACTGCTGCAACCTCCGCCTCGGCCGTCATCTTATAGCACCTCAGTATCCATCGCAAGGAAGGCAGGTGGGCATGTTCGCTGTGACATTGGGCCCTTAAAGTTTGCTGCGATGCAGCATCTGCAAGGCTTCTTGCTTTGTTGGTCACAAAAGCTGCTGTTGCTGTTTAGCCATACAAGAAAAAAATTCGGCAGCAGCGCGTGGGGTAATTATTGTCAAGGGCCTGCTGCAAATAGCACTCAGTCTGGCAGCTTTAGCGTCAGCAATACCTGCCGCCTTGGTGTGCCACGGCGTAGTCACTACGATCTGCAGTGAGCTGCAGTGATGACAAGTGCTGAACAAAAACTGATTTGGGATTTGACGCTCCTTTGGACGCTTGATATGGCGCAGCTGGCAGTTCGAACAGTACTGTCCCATGGTGTGCATGGGACCGCCGGGTGTGTGCATTCTGCAGCGGGTTTTCAGTGCTTTATACAGCGATGGTCAATTTGTAACTGTTCCCGCTGCCAATTTTTTGTTCGACAGCAAGAAGCTGTTCTCGCTGCCATTTTTTTGTTTGCCTTTTTTTTTGTTTGACAGCTATTATTAATTTGTCCCGCTGCCATTTTTTTGTTTGACAGAAGAAATAATTGCTTGTTCACACACTGCCATTTTTTTGTCTGATAGCAAGAAATAATTTCTTGTTGCGTGTCAAACAAAAAATGTGTGTCAACAAGAAGTTATTTCTTGCTGTCAAACAAAAAAATGGCAGCGGGAACAGTTAAAAGTGTATCGGCGTCCTGGCTTTAACGCAATAAATTAAATCTGAGGTTATAGCAATTTGTGGTGCGTACTAGGTATTACTACTGCTAGTGAATACACAGTTCTGCAGCATTGTCAATTTTGCTCAACAAGTGCTTGCTCAAGCAGCTGGCAAAATTTTGCTATAGCCTACTGAATAGTCTGTCATGTATGCTACAGTATGCATATATGCTAGACTGAGTGCACTGGCAAGTATTCATATTGCTCAAGATACAACTATAATTGGCAGCTGCAGCTGCAGCAAGTGCAGCTGCTGGCGCATTTGTGTGCTGCACACAAATGCGTCATGCTGAATATCAGCCTGAGCCAACGGTATCAGGCTGAGCCGCGCTCCGGCATTGCATTTAATTTGGGACTTGGTACTGCTGTGCCTACTAGTAGTACAGTAGTAATTTAATAATATGTTGAACGTGAAAATTCTGTTGGAGGATATTCGTGGGTGTTAATGTGACCTTTGTGGCGACTCAAGTTTACATGTTTTCCTAAGACGTCTAGTTGGCTTGTGTTTCTCTAAGGCGCCTGTGCCAAGTTCCGTGGCTCTTTTCTGCATGCATATATGCACTGCGGCAGGCACCACTGTAACAGTGGCATGCGCGCGATAGTAGAATTTCAATTGCCATAGTGCTCATGATGATTGTTGATAGGGTCTCATTTCTCAACTGCTCAGACAAGCTGTTGCTATAGCTGCTTCACATTCATGCGCCACATTCACGTCTGCTGGTCGATGTTTTGTCACACGACAATTGTTAACGTTTGATGGCTTGGCCATGAACATTCAGTTCAAGTAATTCCACGTGGTGCCATGGTCTTAATGGTTGAATTCTAATACAGGGGGCTGAGTGCCCGCAATGCAAGTGAGCTTCCCAGGCCCTGGGGTTTCTTCAATGAATTGTTGGGCAGCCCCTTACCTTGTCTCTCAACAAATTTGCTCCACAGCCTTCATGAAGAGCTGCATCATGTGTACACTGTGATGTCTCAACTGCAAATATCGCCACGGGTGTGCCAGTGTGAGCCAGCCGGGAGAGCCAGACACCTCCCACATGTGCAATGACAACTCTAGTACCGTACAGTGACTTTCAAATTGCAGTATTGCAGCCTCACACGCATGAGCTCAAATTTAAAGCTCGAGGATGCACGTGCACTATACACTTCAAATGGTAGTAGTAGTGCATTATTTATAATCATGTTCAACCCTGTACTGCGCTGTTCTATGCAGAATACACCAAGAAATGTGCCTCAGCAGACGCAGCAGCAGCAGCTAAATAAGGATCTAAATCTTCCTCTTTTCTTCCCCTTTTTTTCTCTTTTTTTCCACCAGCCTGCCAACGCTACAAAAAATTTGCCTTTTTGTTGTAGGGGAGTCAGGCAGTCTGAATTCTTGGGATTTGTCCCCAAGCTGAATTACTGTCGAGCCCCTCACAAGCAAAGCATATTTGTAGGGGTTGACATTTTTTTTTCACTTTCGAAAGCAGCAGGGCACGCACATATACGCAGCCCTAGGGCCTATGATGTCAGCAGCACAGTGCGCGCGCGCTACATTAATTTTGGGTTCAGGGTTAGTCAGGAATAAATGTCAACAGCAGAATGCGCGCGCGCGTTGCGCGCGCACGCGCGCGCGTTCTGCGCCCCTCGCTACCCGTCGCTGTCCCATGGCAGCAGGCAGGGCAGGCATATGCAACCCTAAAGCCAATGTCGCCTGCACAGCACTGACGGGGTAGGTTTAGCCTAATGCCAAGTGCCTGCTTTGAGAAACCCCTCCTCTGGTCTGGCGCTGCCACACAGCCTTGGAGCTGCAAATGACCTTGCCTACTTGTAAGCTTCATGTCAGCTTGCCAGTTGGTGCTGATAATAACCTTACACACACGTGCAGAGAAACATAGCCGTGTACAGAGTAAAGTTGTCTAGAAGTGTTCACTTCATACACAAATTGCCTGTGCGCATATGCATGCATTCGAATATTAATATATATATAGAATATTCAGTTCTAAAAGAAGGCCACTTCCTTTCAAAAAAATAAAGCTCCTTCTCTTCTAAGAAGGCCATCGTCTTCATGCAAATAAAACTGTGCATAGAGGTATACTTCAAAGTATATAATATATGACATGACACAAGGACCACAAAGCTGCAGGCTGCACAGCTGCCAGTGCACAGACATGACAAATGACATCGAGGTTCAAGCAGGTGAAAAGCAACAAGGCGCCAATGACACAACGCATGCGCCAGAAGGTGATGTACATTTATAAAGCATTCGCACAGATCAGATGCGCTGAAGCTTGTAACATCTGATCAGCCCACCATGGCTTCGCATGCCATGTAGCCACCGTGATCTGAACTGGTGACATGTGCGTATGGAGCAACAATGAACTTCAATGCTTGGGGCAACATGTGGATGCACTTTTCCTCGTCCAGCACTATGACAAGAGGTGCCAGCACCAAACCTCAGCCACGAGGTATCACTGCACTACGAGAGCAGCAGAGATGTCTAGTCGAGGCTGCAGGGGTCGCAAGTAGAGTTGGCCAAGTCGAAGTCTCAAAGTCTTTGCTTGTGATGTGGCACAAGCAGCTGGCAGCTGCCTTGACGCATGCATCGATCACCACTGGCTGGGCGTGCATGGAACAATTCAAATCATGCACAGGCTGCACGTGTGATTGCTTCTCGGCGGCTGTTGCAGCTGCAGTAAGAGGCATATTGAGCGGCTGTATGGCCTTGCCTGCCACTGCCACCAACGGGGCATGAAGCCATCGTGGTGACAGCCCCGGAGCGGCGCTGCAGTCGGGTTCACTGAGGCATACGCGCAGGGGGTCACTGTGGCACCTGCGCAGCGGGCGCGCTAGAGCCACTGGAAAGCGGCTGCCTTGTAGACACCCCAAGGCGCATACACCGCCACTCGGCTTCGTCAACCTCAATCAATGCCATTGCGGCAGCACCGCCTGCCCTCCGACACTCGCACGTCACCGGCCCGCCGTGCACGACCTCACACGACGGACGTGTCCATCGCTGCCGTCTCTGCCGCCGCCGCCGCAGCAGCAGTGGCTGTCTTGGGCTTGGGCGCGCCCCTCACGAGCACGCCCACGCTCTTCCGCAGCTTCTCCTGCACGACGCGCACGCGCATCTTGATGCGGTACGCGCTGCGCCGCGCCGGCGCGCCCGCCTCGGGCGTCTGCGCCTTGCGCACGGCGTTCTTGGGCTTCTCACGCTTAGGCTTGGTGAGCGTCTGGCGCGGCGAAGGGGGTCGCACAGGGGGGCAGGGGGGGGGGTCAACCACTGCAAGGAACTGTTGAGAGGATTGCTACATCAGTTGCGGTACAAACTGGCGGTGTGAATGGATGACTATTGTGATCGCCCTGATCTGTTTTGTAGCAGTCATGCATGATGCACAGCAGATGTCGTAATTCCAGGCACTACGATTTGTGTCAGTATATGATAAATATCCTCCACCTTTCGTAGCTGAACCCCTGTGGAGACTGCAGGGACTCGGCTGATACAAGAGAGGGAGTGTGACTGTTGCAGGCGAAAAAAACTACTTCCATCGTCGCCTCA